CTGTAATCATTTAATTGTTCAATAAATTACCAACATGAAGTTCTGTTCACTTTAATGATTAACTGGAATCATTTAATTGTTCAATAAATTACCAGCATGAGTATGAAGTTTAATTCTGTTCACTTAACGATTGTATTCAAGAGAATATATAATTAATGTAATTATTTAATTGTTTAACAAATTACCTGCTTGAGTATGAAGTTTCTGTTTGCTTTAATGATTGTTTTAAGACAATGTATGATTAACCATAATCATTTAATTATTCAATAAATTACTAGTATGAGTTACGATACACTAATTTCATGGTCAAAGCAAAGTGAACAAATTCAACAGAGAAAAGTTCAAGACATTTGTGGTCAGTGAGTGCTGTGACAGAAGAACCTGGGTAAGATGAAAGTCTTGCTCACTATAAAGATCATTGTGTTCTTGGCAAATATGAAAAATTGAAGTACACTAAACATAGACTTGTTGAAAGACCGATCAATGCCTTTTGGGAGCTGCGAACAGTGGTAGATAATATTGGTGGAAGAACATGTACAATACTCAGTCCAAGCTGAGTAATGTGGTCAAATACTATCAAAATAGTGTCAGTACAAAAAGAGATATTCAGAAGGCAAAGTACTGTTCACAAAATATAGAAGCTTTTTAAAAACTAATAAATCACATGATAATATCAATCCCGAAGTTAAGAAGATATAGAGATTTAGAGTATCTTGGGTTGATTATAATAAGTTCAGAGATGTTTAGCGAGAGGGTAAAGGAGAATTTGCAACTATATATATTATGCATGTTAGAGTGATAATATTAATGATAGAATTATGAGTGTTGTACTTAAAGTATTTATAGTTCAAATGAAATTTGCAAGAAATTATTTAGGAATTGAAGAATCACTGAAATTGGTTATAAAAATCTCTCGCTCTTGGAATGTGTTGGAGTATCAAGAAATAATCATAGTAATTAAATTATTGTTATAGATTATGCAATAGGAAGTTTGTCATTACAAAGTCTTATACAAGTATCAAAGTTGGAATAGAAAGATAAATTGAATATTTTGTACTGTATAGTCTTGGATTTGGAATCGATTCATTTACAGAGGCTTGTCCACTAAGGTTTACATAGCGAAACATTTTACAACTTGATTTACAAAATGCATATATTACAGATCATGAGCTCTCTAAAAGTAGAGAAAGGAAAATTTGTAGAATTCTGCCATATATACCTTTTGCTCTGATCTATCAGAAGAGATATGCATTATTGAGCTAGTCTTGCGTGTCATCGCATGTCATGCAGCTATCTTATTAATAGTATTTAATATTATTGAAATAATCTTATTTATTAATTTATGTTAATAAAGAGAAACCCTATAACTTGTAATTATATATATTTGTTGATTGATTTAAACCATTTAACCTTAATCACTATTTGTTCACAATCGAAGCTAAATTGGTCCAAGACCCTATAAGCTTTCCTATTTGACCATAACAAAGGCCTAATTAGTAAAAAAAATTAAATAATCCCCAGATTGGCCGGATTGGCCAGATTAGATCTGAATCTGGGGATTGGATTAATTTCGGTTCAATTCTGGATCAATCCGGGTTTTTAAACCCAGATCAGAACACTAATTTTCAGGTAGTGAACAATCAGTTTGTTATTGTTTAATTGGTTGTATAATAGGTAAGGGTGAATTTGGAGACAATTTTTGAGAAAAACAGCATTTTAACTTACTTTCAGCCAATAATTAATTAAATATGTAAATATATTATATATCAACTCTCCCTGACAATCACTTGGACCAACTAGTACTGAAAGCAAGTTGAAGACTCAAGGCCAGAAGTCAACAACAACTTGAAGTTTTCTCA